CTACCTCCTGCCATTACTTTTCTGATCTCCATAAAAGTTAACAATTATACTATAAGTACACAACAAACTTAATCAATCATTGCACTAACATATCAACAAATTTCACAATTAATTCATTCCATCAATTATCTACCAAACAAGCATAGTAGACTCATAACTCACGGCCGATTGGATCGACCTGCTCTGATACCACTAAATATGACACCCTTACTACCCCAACACATATATTGTAATAATGAAAACCTACAAAAAAAAAATTTCAATTTCATTAAAAGGGTTCACATGAGAATCTTCAAAATTATTCTTCAATAACCACAATAATAAAAATGAAACGCAAGAGTTTACAAATTGTTTTCAAAAATAAAATTTACAATTCCAAATCCATATAAAAACCTATGTTCTAAAAATCCTCTGCCACGATGACACAATATCAAAGCATCCCCACAATTCAACTGTTGGCATTCTAGATGCCACTCGAAGCCAGATCTTCCTACCCAAGGTTCGTCTCATCCCTGGTCATTAATGTGAGGAACCACAGTCACATTACAATCCACACAATCTCTTGCAATTAACCCTATGTCAGGGCTGCCATATTTGACATAAGTGATGCGTGTTAATTGCCTCACTCATCCCACACTATACCAAGGGCACGCTCGTCCTTGAAGCATCACTACTCAAGGTTCGTCTCATCCCTGGTCATTAGTGTGAGGTACCACAATCACAATCATAATCATCCACACAACATCTCATCTCATATCTCAATTCCATGCACAATTCCATATCACATATACAACAGATAAGTCCAAAAAAATAAGGGTTTACACACCCCTCTAGCAATTCACATCTAGATCATCAATTCTTGTCAATTAATATAACAATAACATTCTTAAATTAATAAAATAATCAATAGAATTATCAATTAATATAATTTTAACATAAACAATAAAATCCCCAAATATTCCAATACCTAACTCACAAGCACTTTTCTACAGTTTAGTTCTCTCTCCCAAATCATCATTCTTACAAATTAAATATGTATTTCTAATCCTCAACACATACAGAATCTAATGGTATCATTAATTCCTCAAACAGAAATAATCTAATTTTTTCAAAACCTAATTTACAAGCACTTTTCTATAATTTCGTTCTCTCTCTCAGAGCATCATTTTTACAAATAAATCATATATTCATAGTCCTTAATATATACAGAATCACATGAGACCGATAATTCTCCAAACAGAAATAATTATAAAATTTATCATAATCCTAAGGGTTCTTCCTCTACCCAATTCCCTCATGTAACTCTACATATAAATAATCCTTTTTTCCCCCGTACCTGGATATGTAGAAACTGAACCTACACAAGATCTGGTTGGTCTCCCTTGCTGGGTTCCCCTCGGTCTAAAGCAGAAAGTAGAGAGAAAAGAAGAGAGAAAAGAAGAGAGAACAGAAGAAAAGAAATCAGAAAATGAGAGGTGTGCTTTTTGGGAGTGGCAGAGAGCTCAATTTATAGGCATCAGACTTCGCTAGAACGGCCCGTTCCAAAGTCGGAACGGCCCGTTCTGGACCCTAAAATCATGGGTAAAAATCACACCTAGAACGGCCCGTTCTCAAACCAGAACGGCCCGTTCTGGTGTGCATTTATTACTCAACTGCCATAGCCTATTCCAAGCTTGTTCCCACTTAGAGTTTAAGGTAGCTTTTAATAGTCCGGAACGGCCCGTTCCAACTTGAAAACGGCCCGTTCTGGGCTATTAACTCACATACAATTTGGTAGTTTGGAACGGCCCGTTCCAATTCCGGAACAACTCGTTCCAAGCAACTAAATCACATACATTTTGGTAGTTTGGAACGGCCCGTTCCAATTCCGGAACAGCCCGTTCCAAGCTACTAAATCACCCCTAAACCTTTATAAATTTACCAAAATACCCTCAATTAAAAAAAATGAAATAAAAATTGGGGTGTTACAATAATTATGAAATTTCTTGTAGTGAAAACACATTTGAGTGTAAACACGTGAGAGAGTATTTGGGTAAGAATTTTTTTTTAACTAAACTTGTGTAATGTTTTTAATCATGAGTAGAGGAGAAAGAGGAAAGAATGTTGATTTTAAGTTGTTTGTGAAAGGTTGTCCAAGAAGAATTCAACGCTCTAAATGCAAGATTGGATGATTTACAATCTAATTCCAAATCTAGAACCCCTCCTAGGTAATGTAGTGATACAGAAGAATAAGAGTATTCAAATGGAAGAAATAGTTAAAGAAGAGACAATCACTAGGGTAATATAGATATGATGATTCCAACATTTCAACGAAAGAATGACCGTGAATTGTACTTCAAGTGAAAAAGAAGGGTTAAGAATGTGTTTGATTATCATAATTACTCAAAGGATATAAGGTAAAATTGGCAATTGTTGAATTTATTGATTATGCTAGTATTGGTGGGATCAATTTGTGATTAGCAAGCGTAAAAATGGAGAAAGACCTATTCGTGCATGGGAAGAAAAGAAAGTTCTCATGCAAAGGATATTTTGTACCAGGTTATTACTATACTATCCACGTTGGATATCGAAGCCCATCTCGGTGCTTGCTCGCCCAGCAACATCAGCCAAGCAAGTGGGCTACTAACCTTATTAGGCCGCAACCGGCCCAATTCTCACCCAAGAGACAAAAACCCTAATTTATATCAAGGTATGCGCATTATATATACGAGACCCGCACATCTACAAGGACTAACTTTGGCATCGGAGTCTTTTGCAAGTACCACCCCCATCTCGGCACAACCGACGTACCCAGGAGAAAAGGCTCACCAATCTCATCAGAGTGATCACCCCTCGGGCCGATCTCAGGTGAGAACATCTGGCGCCCACCGTGGGGCCGATCAAGGATTCTCTTATCGGACAATCTTATGGTTTTCACCCAAATCCATAACAGAAGAGTGACAGACGAGGAAGATCAGAACGTGTCAAGAATGGAATGAGAAGTGACGCTGCGACGATTGATCGAGCAGGTTGACCAACTACGACAATAACACACTGCGGACCTGGAGAACATGCGTACCTAGCATGCAACCAACCTGGCGGCACTACGGCAGAGAACGAGTGCATTTGCGCTCAACTCATCAGCAACCTCCAAACCCACCTCCTCAGCCAACCAACCATCACGAGAAGGAGCGCCAGTCGATTTCCCCACCACCCACAGCACACAGGATATCCACTCATCGGTCATTGACACATTGGTCACACACGCCAACATAGAGATCAGACCACGAAGTCAGCAACGTGCCGACCCAGGGTCCAGCACATCGGACAAGCGTCCGCCGTCATCCCTTTGTTGAGGGCATTATGGAAACACCCTTCCCCTTTGGGTGGAAGCCCCTGAATATCGATCGGTATGATGGCACCACTGACCTAGATGAACACACTGACCTCTACGTTACACAGTTGAACCTATACACTAATGACATGTTATCCTATGTCAGGTCTTCTCGACCTCATTGAAAGGCTCGACACTCGCCTGGTACACCCAGTTACCAGCGGGATCGATCAACAATTTTGATACCCTAGTTAGATGATTTACAGCATAATACGCAACAAGCCGGCCTCACTACATTACATCTTCCGCCTTAGCCAACCTCAGGCAGGGCAATGATGAACCATTGTGAAAATTCATGGAACGATTTGCCAACGTCTCCATTCTGATCCGCAACTTGAATCCCGAGGTCACCCTACACGCCATGTTTATGGCACTAAAGCTGGGCCCCTTTGTCGACAACCTCTACTGGCGACCCCCTCCTAACATGGACGAGTTACGCGCTCGGGCCACCGGATACATTCAGATGGAAGAACATACTGAGTTTCGCTACCAAATTTACAGAAAATTGCAAGGAAAACAAGACCAGGTCACAAGGATAAGTTGAGAATCTCCAATGACAACAATTTCAAGAAATTGTGACCAAATAAGGGCAGGAAATATGACTTCTACACCCCCTTAAACGCACCTCGGGTACATATACTAGAAGAAGCCAGCAATACCGACCTGATTACCCTACCACTGCCTGGGCATAGTCCCAATAGTGCTGACAAGACAAAGCATTATCGCTACCATAGAAACTATGGCCACACCACCGAGGAGTGTCGAAAACTCAGGGATCGCATCGAAGAACTTGTCCAAGAAGGACACCTCGATCAATACATCTAGCGGTCCCAGTCTCAGAGAAGCGGCTACCAGGGGCAAGGTAGAGGACGAAGGCGAGGTCGCCGCTCCAACTCTCGAGCTGACCAACCCTCCGGATCCCGACAAAACATCGGCAGGACAGTACAGGCTGAGGTAAGTCATGACACAGAAACCCCTCCCTTACGTAACGTCATTAATACAATCGCAGGTAGATTTGCTGGAGGAGGCCCAAGTAGCTCGGCGTGCAAACGACACCTATGGAGTATCAACAATGTCCACGTTGACACCTCAGCTCCGTAGCGCAACACGCCGTCTATTACCTTCACGGATGACGATTGTGTTAAAATTTTAAAAATTAAAATGATATTATGTTATAACATATCATGGTACATTTACACCACGTGACACACCCACGTAATGTATGTCACTCTACATATAAACTGTGTTACATGATAATATTGTGTCATGTAAACTTTTTTATTTAAAAAAATAGAACTTATTTAGTAAAAGGACTCAGATGTGTAACATATTACAATCTTAAAAATATTTTTTAATTTCATTAGAATCAAGAACTAAATTAAGAATTATATATAATGAGAAGAGACTAATTCAATCATCTTTTATTGGTTAACGTGAATTTATTAAAATTCACAAAATCATTGAAACGAATCATTAAATAAGAGTGAGAGACAACAATTTTTGTTTTTTTTTTGATACGCTTCAACCAAATAGTGAGATTTCCTTTTATATTGGTTATAATTTCATTTTCTCTCTATTTTATAACGAGTAAGTCCCTCCTAGTTTAAGAAAGTCCCATCCTTGTGTTTTCCCTTGGAAATCAAATTAGATGAAGGGCTGAATTTCACAGTTCACATAGAACCCTCAATCATCGACCAATCACACATCACATTCTTTCTCACACCAAATCAGATATTCTCAATCCCAACTTCCCAACTCTCTGCTCCCAAACCCCGGAAGCAAGAGTTCCACATATATAAGACAAGACACACACACACAACTGCATCCAAAGCCAAACACAAACAACACAACCCCATCCTCTCTTCTCTCTCTCACCTCCCGAGAGAGAGAAAGCACGTGCATAATAACATCATAACAACATAGCAATGCCAATGGCGAAGGAGAGGGAGAAGAAGCTCTTCCTCATTGGGTCCCTAGGAAACTACGCGGCGGAACTGAAGCTTCTTCTGACCACACTCCTCCTCCTCTGCGGCGTCGCCACCCTCCTCCAGTTCCTCCCTTCACGCTTCACAATCTCATCCTCCGATCTCCGCTTCTGCATCTCAAGGGTATCCCACCAACCCCCACCACCACCACCGACGGCATTACTCTCCACACCCCCTCCACCACTTTCCACACCCCTCTCCTCCAACGGCACCACCATCATCAAGCGCTTCTTCAACCCCTACGGCTCCGCGGCCTACAACTTCATCACCATGGGCGCCTACCGCGGCGGCCTCAACACGTTCGCCATCGTGGGCCTAGCGTCCAAGCCCATCCACGTCTACGCGAAGCCCACCTACGAGTGCGAGTGGGCCCCACTCCCCCCCAACCAAAACTCAACCTCCACAACCGGTTACAAAATCCTCCCCGACTGGGGCTACGGCCACGTCTACACCGTCGTGGTCGTCAACTGCACGTTCAACCACACCACCCTCAACGCCGACAACGCCGGCGGCAGGCTCATCCTCCGCGCCTCCACCTCCGGCGGCGGCGACGCCAGCCTCAACACCACCGACACGATCGAGGTCCTCCACGAAAAACCGGGAACCTTAAACGCCTCGTTGTTCGTGTCGGAACCCAAGTACGATTACCTGTACTGCGGGTCGTCGCTGTTCGGGGACCTGAACCCGCAGCGCGTGAGGGAGTGGATAGCGTACCACGTGCGGTTCTTCGGGGTTAAGTCGCACTTCGTGATACACGACGCGGGTGGGGTCCACGCGGAGGTTCTGGAGGTGCTGAGGCCGTGGATGGAGCTGGGGTACGTGACGCTGCAGGACATTAGGGAGCAGGAGAGATTCGATGGGTACTACCACAACCAGTTCATGGTGGTCAATGTGGTCCCTAGAATCATTTTGAAAATTTGGATTCTAGGGGATCAATTCCGACAAGGAAAATGTCATGTCCTTATAAATGGAAAAATTTTGGGACCCGGGTTGGTTTGTTGGATCATGGTGCAGGGGCGGATCAGATCCAATTACCCAATTTCTGGTCAAACTTTCAACACGCTGGATGACATGGAGTAAAGGAACACGTGGCATCA